ACAACGAACATCTATACAGTGGAATATAATACAACCAATCAAAATAAGGTTGTGTTGTAGAAAGATGTCTGATGATCTGTGAAAATGTTCCCTTATATTTTATGAAGTAGTAACATTTTTAATATTTACTCAATTTTTTCCATTATAAATGTGATGTAGATTGTAGAATTGGGAAACAACAGAAAAAGTATAAAGAAAAATAATAACCTAGTCCTGTGATGCAGAGATTGCCATGTTTACTTAACATATTGGTGAATTTTACCTAACCTCTCTTTCTGAAAACTTGCACTAATTATTTTATAAAAAACAGGGGTTGCCATCATCGCTGGAGATGGCAGGGAGCTGCAAGTGGGGTTCCTGGAGGAGGGACTGGCCATATGTGGGTGGCATGGGTTAAAACTGCTTGGAGGAGGGAAGCTTGCTGTGGGCAAGAGGTCTTCCCAGGAAAGTGGTGCTGCTGGAGCTGAGCCTTCTCTTGCAGAATCGTAGGAACTGTCCCCTTTTAACATATCAGTCATTCTCATTGTTCTGTTTCATCATTCAGTCATTCAATAGCCTGTTATGAAGGCCTGTTGTGTACCAGCACATTTCTAGGTCTCAGGGACTCAGACATGAACAAGATCGGTTCCAAGCCTGTATCCCTGGAGCCCACTTTCCTTTCCAGAGCTTGTCCAGAAGCACATTACAAAGTTACAGACACAGGCGTGCACAGTGTCTGTGCTTTGCCTGACAGTGAACACAACACTCTACCATGTGTCTTCACAATGGCTGTTTCTTGTAGCAGCACACATTCTCTCCAGTTGCCATGTACTGATTTAATTAACCACTCCTACTCTCGTAGACATTCAGATTGTTTGGTCTTTGACACACCCCTCCTCTGCTTTTCAAATGGATTGGATTGTTCCAGTGTACAGAGTGACCAGAAAGGTGTGAATGAATGGGCCTGTTCCATCAAAACCTTACCACCAGTGGCTATATGTTTTTGTTTTTATCATTTCTGTTCATTTAATAGGTACAAAACTGAGCCTCATTGTTTGGACATTCTATTACTTGATTACTGTAAAATGTTAACCTTTGTTTCCTCTTAAGTGCATTATCTATTGAAATCTTTTGTTCTGTTAACTTACGAGTATTTGGGCTGTGATGTGAAAAGCAGACTCTGCATGTGATGGTTAAGAGCCCAGATGCTAGACCCGCACAGATCAGGTTTATATCCAGCCCTGCTAGTTTGGACCTCAAGCACAGAGGTCTGGGGAAGTGCTAAGGTGAGGAAGGGCATTCCTAGCAGAGGGGCTCTCCTGGGAAGCTGAGTTGGAGAGAGTTTGGTGGCCTGGGTACATCCAGGGCACAGTGGGACAACTCCCGTGTCTGGCTTCATCTAATACAGCCGCCTTGAATATCATTGGTTCATTCTGGAGTTTTCAAAAGCGTAGCATTTGGAGCGAAGGCAGGTGGCACAAGTCCTCATATTCAGTTTCTCCCTGGAAATAAAACCCAACCCCAAAGGAGTGTTGGGGAGAGGCAGGAGGGGTTGTGGGATGGCTGGGAGCCCCGCAGTCAGGGTGCTCTGGCTTTGAGCCCCAGCACCCTTGCTGCATAGTTGTACATACTCCAAGTCTCTGTTTTCTCATCAGAAAATGGGGTGGTCATATCGGCACTGCATACCGTGAAGGCCAGAGATGATTTATGTCAAGGGCCTCGTGCAAATGAGGCACTCAACTAATGTGGGCTGTTACGAACCAGCAGTGAACAGGGAAATGCATGCTACCCTCATGGAAGGATGAGATTAGAATCCCTCCTACCCAGCTTTTAGCCACCAGCCCTGATCCTCACCCCTCCCGCCCCCCTTGATTTCTCACTGCTGCAGTAACCACTGCCAGTTACAGGCCACCCTGGGAAAATGAGCTTTCAAAGGTGCGTTTCTTTCCTAGCGGGTCGGGTAGAATTCCCTGGGGAAGTGTATCGCTTAGAAACAGAGTAGGGACTGACTGGGTATCTCAAAACGTGACTCTTTGGGTGCCTAAGCCCTTTCCCTAGGAGAAAAGGATGTTTGGGTTCTCAGCAGCCACATCTGCTTTTGAACTGTGTGCAGCTTGTGCCCTGGCCTCTCCCCACCCTCACCACCCCCCTTACATTCAAACAGAGGAAAGTTGTGTTGTTGACCACTCTTTCGGGGTGGGAAAGGAATGTAATGTATGCATAGACTGCCCAGAATTTCCTGTTAGACACCCATTCCAAACCACGGCCCCGGGATGCATTCCAGAGATCACAGCCCAGTTCTGGGAGAGAAGAAATGGTGCATTCATTTCAGTGCGGGCTCTCGGGGAGAACTCTCCCTCCTCCCATTACAAAAAAAAATAAAAAAGGTGTTTAGCTTATTCCATAATAACGTAGTTGTGAATTCAGCTGGAAGGTCTCTTTGGGGTCGTGAAGTGCTCTGACATCCCCACGTTTGAAGAAACCCCCCTACCTTGGGGAACTCCAGTGCACAGTTTCACAGCCTTAGCAGCATTGCAGTCCGCACTGATGCTTGGAACAAGGCACACTTTTATTTTTAATGTTCCGCTGTACATACTTGGATGATATAAATCTGCTATGGAATACCTTCCTTAATTCTCCTCGTGTGACAAGAAAGGAGCTACTTCTGAGAGCAGGTTTTGGTGCTTTGACACATTAGCAGTAGACTTCGTGTGATCAGTCAGTTTTCTCCTAGAAATTCTGTTAACGCTGGGTCTTTGGCGGCTTGGTCCCTGGACCGGCATGTACACTGGCTTGACGCCATGAGAATCCAAGGCAACATTCTGTGTTTTCTGTAGCTGTCAAGGTGCCGTTTCTTCACCTGGGGAGAAACCTGAATGATTGGGGATGGATTCATAGTGAGGAGCAACCATTTCCACCTACGTTTCAGCTACTCTGGTCTTCATCCCGAGCCACTCCTTTGTGTAGCGATGTGTGTGGGGCTCTGGGAGCTCTGGGTCAGATCAGAGATAAGGACAGGTGAGTGGGCTGCTCACAAAGGGGAGTATGCGAAGCTCTGAATCGGTGTAGACCCCAGAGGTTTGGCTCCTAAATCTGAAGCTTCCCCACATCCGGAATCTGAACCAGGTCAGAATGCAAGAATTGTAAAAGGGCGATGGTTGTAGGCATGGGCAGCTTGCACACTAATTAAGAAATGCTGGCTGTTTGGGGTCAACATTTTAATTTATGGAGGCAGAAGGGAACCAGCTAGGTCAGGAAGTTGCAGAGGATGACTAGAAATGCCCCCTCTCAGCCTGTGCATGCCAACTGGCTGGATTTGGTCGTGCCTTCCATGTTGGCATAAACCCAGAGTGATAGCTCTAGACAAGTCCTCCTGTCCCCACTGAAGAACCAAACCACACGGTCAGCCTTGGTGGCCTTGCCCCTGGGCAGTTTATGTTTTTAATTACACCACCTTCTTTCTAACTATATTTCATATAAGACTGCCTAGAAAAGGCCCAAGTCCTACCGTTTATTTTCAGCTTTACATATGGAGTTGCTTTTTATTTGTTTGTTTGGTTCTATCTATATTATTATTATTATCATTATTATTATTATTATTATTTTTCAAAGAGACCTTCACTGGAAAGGTGGTCAAGTTTTAAAGAGCTCCTTTAAGTTCTAAGTTTAGAATTTACATAACCAAAAACAAAATGGGCCTCCCTACCTGTTTTCTCATAAAGCAAGGCTGTTCTCGTGAGGCCAGTTGTCTGGGTACCTCCTCACTTCTGAATGTTCACAGTGACACTGCATTGTACATGAACCAGTCACAATTTCTCATTACTATACTTTCAGCTGCTGGTAGATTTTCTCTCTTACAAAGACATGCATGTTTTTGCTGCATCCTCACAGACAGCCCTGTGGGGTAGATATTATGATTCCCACGGTACCCGTGTGGCTTAGTTAGATGAAGTCACACCAGCTAACCAATGGCAGGGCTGGGGCTTGAGCCTAAATGTAGCTCAAAAGCTCACTTTCTTTCCATGCAACTTGTATTGAAAGTCAATTTGTATATAAGAAATTGCACTCTGGGCTCTTTATACAGAACGGTCTACATGTCTGATTTGTAAATATCCTGAAAATCTTTGATGCAGATTGATAACCTCCATTAGCCATAATTTAAAAAATTTAAACTCAGCAGTTCCTGGTACAGAAGTGAAACAGTGACATTCATGGTATAAATCTGGTCACGTTACTCTCTGTTTCCATAGAATCAGTCCGAACTCATCATCCCCATTGTACACTCCTTGCTACTTTTTGATTTCTCAAATATTTCGTGTTTTTTCTCGTATCAGGCTCTTTACACATTGCTGTTTCTCCCGCTTCCCTGAACCCTCCAACAATTTTATGAAACTCTCAGCCCAGCTTAGAAGACATTTCTTCTAAGAAGTCACTCCTACAACCCCACCTCACCCCCAAATCTGAACTGTATGCCCTTCTTTGGGCCCCAACAGTGCCCAGTGCTGCTCAGTCATAACAAGACTCATACTGGATCAGAATTGCTCATTCAAGTGTCTCTCCCACTAGACGTGAGCACCATGAACAGGAGGCATGGGTGAGGCCCATGCCCAGTATCTGCAGCCCTTCACTACCCTTCCCAGGATTTCTGCCACCCAGGCCTGTTCAGAGATATGGAAAAAGTAAAGTCTTAGGATCACTCCATCTGCCCCTGCGAGGGATCTGCCTTTACTTAGCCTATGGGATGTCCATGCCCCTGACCCGACCATCTGTGTGGAGAGAAGGGCAGCTGCTGAGACCAGCTAGGGCCATGTTTTCATTAGCAGGGCCAAGGAAAAGAAAGGGGTGGTCCTTCTGACAGGTCTGCACTGCCAGAGCCTTGGGAAAATAGCAGCATATCATGGCCCAGTAGGAGAGACCAATGATGGGCTCTTAGCCTCCTTCATGGTCCTCATGTAGTCAACCTTGCACAGGAGAAGACTCCCTTTTGATGCACAGCTTAGGGCAAGGAGGCCCTGGATCAGATGCAGACTGGGCAGGCACAGTGCTCAGCAGAGGAGAGAGCTAAGCTGCAGCCCCAGAGGGAGCTGAGTGAGGGGAAAGCAGGTAAGCAGCCCCCCACGGAGCTCATTTAGACCCTAACCCCTCCCTTTTCTTTCCTCATCTCCGCATCCAGTTTTTAGAGCAATTAAGTAGAACCACTTCCCCACATTTTTCTACTTTTGCTTTCTAAATTACAGTTTATGTAACCAAGGTCTGTTATAGTAAGTTATGCCTCCTACTTGTCAGATGCCAGGGAAAAAATGTATAACCACAGACTCCAGCCTTTGATCCACGATTTACCTGCAGAGGACCCCCGCTCCTTTACAACGCAAAAGATTTCAAGAGACTAATAATAATAAGAGCTAACATTTGCGAAGTGTTCTGAGTACTTTATAATAACTCATTTAATTATCACAATAAGCATATAAGATGAGTACCTTTATTATCCCCAATTTTACAAATAAGAAAACCGAAACACAAAAAAGTCACGTAACTTAACCTCGGTCCCATACTATTTATTGCTGGTCAAGCCAACATTCTGCACCTAAGCAAATTGACTTCAGAACCCACATTCATGACAACCAAACAGTCTACTTGTTGGGCTTTGCCTTGGTGGGTATTACCAGTGATCATAGGATACAAAATAGGAGCAAGAAAACAAATCAAGAAGCTATTGTAGTTGTGCTGGGACAAAATGATGAGGGCTTCAGCTGGGATAAGAGAGGGACAGGGAATTGTTGAGGACAGATTTAAGAACTGTTAAGGATATCACAACCAACAACTTAATGAGAGGGAGAAGGATGGATTTTTAGACTAGGAGGTTGGTGGCCTGAAAGTTAGGAGAGAGGAATGGGTTGGAGACGTATCTCAGCCATACACACGTTCAGTTGGGAGATCAGTGACTGAGGAACAGATCACTTCCCCTAGAGTGGGCTTCCTCCCAGAGATGGGCTTTGGACCAGTTCCCGAAGAACAGGGATGCTCCAAGAAGTGGGAGGTGTGAGGAGCGGAGGAGAGGAGGAGTGATGCCAGTGGGACGAGAGTACCATGGAGGAAACCGGGCAGTGAGATGGGCAGGTGTGGGTGTGGATAGGCGTGGGAAGGTTATCGGGGAAAAGCAGCAGAAAACTGGGGTGTGATTTTCGATGACTTTTTCTTCCTAAGTCTGATTTAAAAAATGAAAATCTTTATGAAACGTTTTAGACTGATGTTCAAAGGTGCTACTCCCTCCTTTACTCCTCCAAAGTATTCTTAAAACTAACATTAACAGGAAGATGTGTGCATCTTCTTTAATGTGCTAGTGTTACCATCCTTTGAAAGACCTTGTTCCTGGATACCTAGGCCACCAGGAGACCTCTTTTGTATGCTTGTTACGAGTAGGAACATTCAAAAGGGTGAATGAAGAAAAGTGGTGAGAGGCCAAGTCCTGGTTAAGAATAAAGAAGCGACAGGATGGCATTGGTGTGTCCAGAGAAGGGGAAGTGGTCTGGTGGGGCTGCCAGATGAGAAAGCCATGGGAGCATTCGACTGGGGAAAGAACACATATTTGGTGCCTTGTTTTCACATGGGCCTCCTTCGGTTTTGAGGTTGGTGGGTGTGTTATGTGTTGGCAATATCACGGTCCAGAAGGGGGTGTGGCCTATGACAGTGGCGAAATTTACTTCCTGCAAGGCTTTTTACAACACTGCTGCTGCGTGGTTGTCACTTCTCGGGCATGGAGTGGAAAAGCTTAAGAGTAAAACTAAAGGTTTAGATTCAAACATAGAATATGGTTTCTCCTGAGCTTCACAAAGTTGCTGAAAAAGCTTAACAAGATTAGTTGCTGTCCCATTGTAGAGTAATATATAATTACCATAAAATATTTGGAAAATATAGAAGGAAGAAATGGAAGCACCCCACAGCCTGACAATTACCATTAACATTTTGACTTGTTTTCGCCAATCTTTTCCTATTTATAATCTCTTTTAATTTGTTTTGCACAATTGTGATCAAGTCAGATATACAATTATTTATCTAGCTTTTCTAGTCTAATGTTACAGTATAAACTGTGGGCTTTAATTTCACGTATCAGCCGAAACCCTTTTACCAGACCGTTTCTGAGGAACTCAGGGCCCATCTGGATTGTAGCTGGAGGAGAGGCAGCAGCTGGAGAGGAAGGCCGTGGAGTCATTAGATCCAGACAGTCCGGATCTTGAGCCCTTTTAGGAGCAAATGAGTGCTGAGGGCGGAGTGAGGCCAGTGCTGGTCCTGAGAAATCCATCCATTTCCCCAGCTGGCCTGGATTTGAAAGGACCAGACCAATCTAAGAGTGATTAGAAAATCAGAAAGCTTCCAGCCACTGGGAGGTTTCTAGAAGTGACCTCGGTTAGCAGGAAGAGAAGCCTGGACCCTCCCACAGCCATGGAAGGGAGACTACCTGGGCTGCTTCACCTCTTTATACAGAGAAGGGAGAACTTGAGTAAGCTACCATGTCCCCATCTGGGGGTGATGGCCTCCCCAGTGACTCAAGCTAATTTAGTGACTCTCACAGCTCTATTTATGACTTCTACTTGGTAAGTAATCATATGGTGGAAATTACAAGGAGCTCACTGGCTCCAGGTTTAGGATTTTTTTAGCATATAAATTCGGCTCTTAATTTGTTAGTTAGTTGTGAAGATTTATGTGATCCGAGGATGAAAATAGGATCTGGGAAGGTGCTTTTTTTGTAGAGCTGTTCACTGCCCACCATGGGTATTATCTGCTCCATGTCTCTGAGATGGGAACAGATACCTTGTTTACTTGCAGAGCAATGTGCTATCAGCCAGGGAAAAGAAAGGTTTTTTTTTTCTTCCTTTGCCTAAATTATTTGAGTGTGGCATAAAAACGAAAACACCCAATGTCACAACAAAATAGTTGAACCAATCATTTATATTAAATGTGAGTTTATTGCAGTATTTTTCTCTCTGTTTGGTGTGTTCCCTTCTTCTTAATCTAACCTAAATTGTTTCAAGAGCGCCTTCAACATGGCACGTGGAGAAAGCACACACTTTGGAAACGGGCCCACTTGGGTTCAAATCCTGGCACATGCGTGTACTTTCTTGGCAGGAAGATTAAAGCACACCACCTCTCTCCGTGGGTAGCTGTAAGGATTGCATGAGATGAGGATTGTGAGGTACTTGGATTTAGAGGGCTGGTTTTAGTAAACAGCAGTCGTTAGCACTTCCCACCACTGCTTCTGGGAAGGCCTCCGTGTCTGGTGGTCCCCGTGGTCTGGTCTAGCCTGGCAGGTGGAGCCTGAAATGATACCCTATGACATGGACCCAGAGATTCACAAGGAAGATAGCACAGCCAGCTTTTCCAGGGGGTTATGGTTCTAAAGCTCATCTTTAGTGAACAGGGATCTTAAATTCACACTTAGTGGGTGGGCCTTTTGCCCAAACCCAGACTAGAGACCATCTATGCTTGTGGAGTTGCTGGCAAAACAGCTTTTCCATCCTTTTCTCATAATTTCCATCTGAATGCATTTGCTTTTCCTGCTAGCAGAAGAGCACGCCCAAGACTTTCAGCAAAGGTTTTTGATCTCTTGAGAGGGAAGGTGCTATGCAAATCACTCATGTGTACAAAAAGGGGAATTGTGCCAGAATTGCTTTTTGGGAGAAACTCCAGCAATTATGGTGTGGACTGAAATCACTTCCTACATTGGTGGTTTTTCTCATTAACCCTAAGCATGGTCCCTTTGCCTGTGGTCTCTGCTCAGATCACTGCTGACCCACCCAGATGTGGTATGTGGTGGGACAGCCCTGGCTGCATTCCCAGGCAAAATGCCACTGCCCCTCCAAGTTGTCAGACTCCTCCCCTGAGGTGTGTTTTTTTCTTTTCTACTAATTTTTGCCTTCTATGTCTGACTTGTAGCAGCTTGTCTTGAGGCCTGAGTAACAGAAAGGATCCATCACTCCCTCCTGAGCTTTAGTCCAGGCCAGGCCAGGGAATGAGCCCGTGGCACAGTACTACCCTGGGTCTCATGGAGATGGGCTTTGCCCTGGTCAGCCCTGCTGGGGCCGGAGCACATATTCTCTGTTCCACATATCCTGCTGTTTATGTTTTTAGTGTAATGATAGCCTTCAGCCCCGAGCTCTGTGGGGCCATGCCGCTATCAATTTCTTAACAAATAGCAGAGTTCAGAAAGGGGGCTCCTTTGTGCCCTTACATGTCTTATTTCTTAACCCATGAAATGAGTCGTTTCCATGGTGAGCAGGGAATGTCTACGCACCTGGTTTCAAAGTGACTTCTTTCTTAGAACAGGTAACACAGAAATATGCTTCTCAGAGTGTCAAGTCTGCTATGTACCCTAAAGGAGCTTTGTTTTGAAGTAGTCCTTAATGCAGGGTCACAAGACTTAATCTGCTCGGTTCAGGAATGCAGATGGTGCCTGACCCTAAGGATGGGTCACTTAATGAGCGAGCAGCCCCCGCTGGCCCAAGATCAGAGGAATTCTGTCCAGCCAGCAGGATTAGACTCCATCGACCAGCTGGCCCCTCAGGATGATGAATAACAATCCTTT